CACCCCACAGCTCCCTCTGTGTCCCCCCCCAGCCCCATGGCTCCCTCCTTGTTGTCGTTGTCCTCCAGGCCCAGCACTCTCCCCCTGTTTTGTGCCCCCCCCCAAGAGGGTCTCCCAGCTATATGGGGACCCTTTGTATTCCCCAGGGGGGATCCCCAGGGGGTGAGTGGTTATCCCAGCCCCATGCCCCCAGCGCTACCCGGGAAGCTTAAAACAGGTTTTGGGGTGAGGGGACAGGGACACCCAGGGGCCTGTCCGCAGTCCCTGTCCCAAAGGTGACCGGGCTGGAGAAGCATCTCACCGAAATGAAATCCTGCGCCCGTGCCAGAAAGCCAGGTGGGGACACGGTCCCGTCCAGCCACAGCGTCCCCCACCTCCATGGCTTTCCGTGCGGTTCGCCGTCCCTCGGCCCTGTCCTGTCCGCAGAGCCGGTGGCTGTGCTGGTGACAGCTAGAGTTGAGCACACGTGGGGTGGCACAGGGTTTGTTCCTGTCCTCCCGCTGCCTGGCAGCGCCCTGGAGCCCAGCCACTTCTTGGGGTATCAGCTGCCTGTCAGGGAGAGCAATAAATACACTTGTCTGCATTAGGTGTTTTAAGCCCTTACCCTGCATGGAGATGGCTTATGCAATGCTGTTTCTCTCTGATTAAATGCTTTTGCCATTAAGGAATGCAAAATCTTTCCTTTTGTGGATAAGAAAGAATTGTGGTTTACTGGGCCTTTTGCCAGGAGGTGTGTAGGATCTGTCCCTGCATCTCTCCATTCCCGTGGTGGTTTGTCTCTTCTGCTCAGATTTTTGACCCGCCGGAGGAACTGGAGAGGAAGGTGCGGGAGCTGGCAGACTTGATCAGGAGTTCCTCCAATGTAGTGTTTCACACGGGGGCTGGAATCAGCACCGCCTCAGGGATTCCTGACTTCAGGTAAGGGTGTTGGGCAGCAGGCGAGGGGTTGGGAGGATGGCACCTCCTCTGAGTCCATCTCACATCTTGTAAAGGTCTGGACTGTGCTTCCTGCTAGCCAGCCAGTCCTACTCCATCCCTCCTGTCTGGTCCTGGATCCAGCTGAAAATACCCTTTCCCTCTTGCACACCCGTTTGACGTTAAGCCATATGCACAGAAGCCCTACGGGTGCTCCGCTTGCATCAACGACAAAAATCGCTGGTGACCCATGACCTTCATGTAGCAGTGCCTTGCTCATCCTCCCTTAATAGGGCTTGTGGCGCATTTACAACTGTCCTCTTAGAGCCTGAGCTCTCAATTCTCACTCTTTCTGTCCCCATTGCTGCAGGGGGCCCAATGGTGTCTGGACTATGGAAGAGAAGGGGCTCTCCCCCAAATTTGACACCACCTTTGAGAATGCCAGGCCCTCCAAGACTCACATGGCGCTGCTGGGGCTGCAGAGAGTTGGCATCCTGAAATTCCTGGTCAGCCAGAACGTGGACGGCCTTCACGTGCGTTCAGGATTCCCACGGTACTGCCTCTCCCGCCCTGTCTCCAGGTTCCTCATGCCTTTCCCAGCCGCTGCCACGTGGCTGTTCTTGCTGCCTGATTAGCGTGGCCTCACGTGCAAGCGTTTGGTGCTGGGGCTTGATTTCTGTCTGCCCACTGATAGGGGGAGCGGAAACTGGGATGTGCTGGTGTGGGAAGGGGTACGTAAACCAGCTTGAATTTAGAGAAGAGAGGTTATGGTAATAATTGAGAGGGTGATGAAATGAAGTCAGCCTCAGTTGATGCTCTCTAGAAGTACACCCAGAAGCCTTTTGTTCACAAGAGAAATGAACAGGTCGCGGTGTTGGGCTGTTGCATGTTACCACCCATCAGCTGAGTGGCTGTAGCTGCACTGCGTGGCTGCCTGGGGGCTTGTTGTGGTTTAACCCCACCTGGCAACTAAACACCACGCAGCTGCTCACTCAATTCCCCCCCACCCAGTGGGATGGAGGAGAGAATCGGGGGGAAAAAAAGTAAAACTTGTGGGCTGAGACAAGAACAGTTTAATAGGACAGAAAGGAAGAAAATAGTAATTATAATAAAAATAATAAAATTAAAATAATAATAATAATAATAAAAGGATTGGAACATACAAAACAAGTGATGCACAATGCAATTGCTCACCACTCGCTGACAGGTGCCCAGTTAGTTTCCGAGCAGTGATCCTTCCCAGGCTGACTCCCTCCAGTTTATATACTGGGCATGACATCGCATGGTATGGAATACCCCTTTGGCCAGTTTGGGTCAGCTGTCCTGGCTGTGTCCCCTCCCAACTTCTTGTGCCCCTCCAGCCTTCTTGCTGGCTGGGCATGAGAAGCTGAAAAATCCTTGGCTTGGTATAAATATTAGCAACAACTGAAAACATCAGTGTGTTATCAACATTCTTCTCATACAGAATCCAATACATAGCACTATACCAGCTACTAGAAAGAAAATTAACTCTACCCCAGCTAAAACCAGAACAGGGCTCACGGCCCAGGGAGTGAGACATCAGCTTCAAGTAGGGCACGTGCTCCTGGGAACTGGGCTGAGAGCTGTGCTCAGGCTATGTGGTCCTTTCCACTGCCTCTGTACCTGTCCAGAGGGGTGAAGGGACAAGAGGGAGAACAAGAGCACCTGAAACTGCTCCTGCTGCTCGCAGAAATGCATGTTGCCTTCTTTTACCAGCATTGCTAGAGCTGTCTCAGAGCACTGGATCTTGTGCTATTTTACAGTTTGCTTAAATTGAATTTCTTGAGAGAAAATAGAGGCCGTGCTGCCCCAGTGATGAAACCATGCTTGGGCCCAAGATAGCCTTAAAAAGTATTTTGCCTCTCAATAAATTTGCAAAACTACAAGGGCAGCGAGACAGAGAGTCCCACAGTTGGAACTGGTCTGACTTACTGGCTGTGGTCTCTGATTTCCTTGCCCCCTGCGATGAGGCCAGGGATCCTGCATAGCTGTGTTCCCTCGGTGGGGAACTGCAATGTGTGGGAGCCGGGAGTGCAAGATCCCCACTCCCTGCGTGGGTGGGGACTGAAGTACATTTAGCAGCGCAGTGGCTGTTTCAGAGATGTCCTCAAAGGAACCTGCCTTTCCATTAGCACTTGCGGCAACAGGCTCTTTTGCCTTCAGGGAACTTCAGCCTGTTATAAAACCCATTTCCAGCCCTTAAGACCAGCGAGTGATGTCTTGTGAGGCAAACTGCTTGGAGCTGCCTGGAAAGGAAAGGGGAAAGCAGCTGAATTCGAGTAAGAAAGTGAAATGAAGGAGTTGGAATGAGAATGAGGAGCATGAATGGGACCTTGGAGAAGATGTGTCTCACAAATGTCTTCAGCCGTCACTGGCTGAGCAGAGAGCTGCCTCCAGGGGGTATTTTCTATTATTAAAAGCCCTGAGTCCTGGTTCCTGCTCCTGGCACCACGTTTGCCTTTTTAAACTAAACAACCATGGGAAAAAGAATAGGAAATAATGACCAGAACTCAGCTGTGCTCCCTGCAGCCTAGTGCCACTGGCTCCTGCTCTGGTTTAGCACAGCATTTCCGCCCAAGCGAAGCATGTGCTTAAGTAAGTGCCGCTGAACTGGGGCCAAAATGGGGGAAATCAAGTCAGTCCTGTCTCCATCCACCCTGGAGGAGGTTCCCAGTCACCATGGGGCTTGTAGAAACATAGGGAGAGTGTGGCCTTGTTTTCCTCTAGCTTCTGCACTTCGAGGCTGCTGCTGGGCTCGAGGGGAGTTTTACTCAAAACAAGTGGCAAAGGGCTGGAACTGTGCAAGGGCAGAGAGAACCAGTAAGTGCTGAGAAAAGCAAAGAGCCTGGTTACTACCGGGCGCAGAGATTTGAGGCTGAATCAAAACAGGGACTAGAATTGGTGCTGCAAATGGAAATATTTAAAATTTAAAAGCCAGGACATGCCATCCCTCCCCTTAGTCCCAATTGTGGTGGCCATAGCATAGTGCTTTCATGATGGTGATGAAACGGTGGCACGGAAGATCTCTCGCCAGGATCTGAACATGTCCCCTGGGTCTCCCCTGCCCCACGAGAGGCACAGCTCTGTCCCAACTCCGTTTGAACAGTATTTCTTGCGTTAAGAACAGTATTTCTTGTGTTAAATCCACAAAGCAGTGCTCAGTGTGCCCTAGTTTTGCCAGCGCCTGCTTGCCCTGCATGTGATGGACACGTTTGGCACAGGGAAGTCCCAGCACTCTGTGGCCGGACCAACACTCTTCTCTGCTGGACCAACTGCCTCCCGGCAGCAAGGCCAGGTCATTTTGTGGCACCCAGTGCCCCCAGAGCCTGCCAGACTCTGGTGCCATCAGAGCAATACAGCCATATTTGTCTATAACTAATATAATTCCCCTCAGTGCTGACCCTGTGCTGGTGCACTGTCCCCAGGCCATGGCAGAGGGTCCCTGCCACCCCACATCACCTGGCAGATCTGATCCGGCAGAGCTGGAAAGTGGGGAAGACCTTGAGGTGCAGGGGGGTGAGGAGGGGGGTTTGGGGCAGCTTTCCCTGTTGCCCCAGGGCTCTCCACCCCTCCCCATCTCACCTCTGTCTTTTCTCCCGCAGGGACAAATTGGCTGAGCTCCATGGGAACATGTTTGTGGAAGAGTGCGTGAAATGTGGCAAGTACGTGAGCCCTGAGCCTGGGGAGAGTGTCAGCAGGGTGGGGGTTTTGTTGCTGTCCCCGGGGAACGACGGAGGCCCTGCACATGCTGTGGGTCTGTCTACCTGGCAGGTCTGTAGCGCAGTGTGTGTGGGGTCATGGACAGATCTGTCTGTCTGAATCCTAAACCCTGTCAAATGGTGGGAAAGGAACATTTTGGGAATTCTTTGTTGCCTGGGAGGCCCTCAGCAAATCCTGCTCCTCGTGGCAAGGCGGATGTGCCAGCAGGGCTGCCTGCAGCGGGGTCTGTGCCTGCCAGCTGGAGAGAGGAGAGGAGGTTGCTACAAGCTGGGTTTTCCATCCTGGTTTGTGGCAGACCTCTGGGGCTGTTGGTCAGAGCTGCTGTCAGCAGCACCTGGTTAGAGACGCAGGCAGAGATCGATGAAGGACTGAGGTGCTCCAGTCAATTGCTTGTGGCTCTGAGCCATCACCTCCTTCCTCCAGTGCAGGGTCTGTGGCGTAAGGTGTGCCATATTGGGGCGGGGAGGGGGCATTTCACAGCAGGTGCCACCTCCCTGCGTGTTTGGCCCTGAATGGCACCGTCTCTCTTGCAGGCAGTATGTGCGGGACACAGTCGTGGGCAGCATGGGGCTGAAGCCAACGGGCAGGTTGTGCAGCGTCACCAAAGCCCGCGGGCTGCGGGCCTGCAGGTATGTCTGCTGGGATGCTGGATGGGGGCTCCCGAGGGGACGTCGGGTGGCAGGGACCTGTTCATCCAAGCGAGCGGCTCTCGTGCGCAGACTTGGCTTTGCAGGCCTGGGCCGACAGTCCCTCCAGCTCAGGTGAAGAAGCAGAGGGTGTAGGGGAGATTTCCAAGGGCCCAGATAGGACCCATGTCTCCAAGGACTCCTAGCCTCCTCGGGGGGTTCTCCCCATGCCGATACTCAGAGCATATCCCAGTGCTGGAGAATGCCCTGCTGTGGGATGGCAGCTCTAGAGAGCCCCTTCCTCTCCAGCAGGATACGGCCACTGCACTGCCCTGGTGCTTCTTGCCTTCAGTAGGGAAGCATAGACAGTGTTTCCAGCTCTGTGGCTGGAGGTACCCTGAGGTGATCTGGCATCAAAACACGCTCCACATGCCCTTTGTGCTTCCTCACCCCAGCTCACTGGGCCCAGCCCAGCTGCTTTTCTCATCCAGGCTGGCTGCAGAGCCGGCACAGCAGAGCCGGGGGCTCTGGGCTGTGGGGCAGAGCTCTGCTGGCTCAGCTCTGATGTTGGGTAGTGAAAGGCACATCCCAGCTCTGAACTGGGACAGCAAAACAGCTGGGGCTTTGGTGGCGTTGCAGCACCAGCCACAAAGTTCCTCATGCAGGTGAATTCCGTGCCTTCCCTTGCCTGCCAGTGAGTCCACTCGGCTTGTCTGGGCTCTCTCTGTCCCTTCGCAGTGCTGGGCCAGGGAGGGTGGGACAGAATCTGGGTTGCTGTCCCCTCTCCCAGGGCAGCTCTGCTGCCTGTTCCTGCCTGGCAGGGGGAAACCATGGTCCCTGTGTGTGTTTTCTAGAGGGAAGTTAAGAGACACCATTCTGGACTGGGAAGATTCTCTGCCTGACCGTGACCTCACTCTGGCGGACGAAGCCTGCAGGTACTGCACTTGGGCTCTTCACACCGTGGCAGCCACTGAAGCCTGCGGCTTGCGGTGCTCCGGGAGGCTGCCCAGGCTCCCCGTCCTCTGCCCGCACCACAGCGGCCCTTGGGCTGACCCTGCCTGGCTTTGTTCATGGTGTTTTTGTGCCTTGCAGCCCTGAGGCTGTACCCACAGCACAGCAACGCCCAGCCCTCTCACCAGAAAGTGGCCGAGAGGAAACCACTGCAAATTCTGGCCACAGCTTTGCTTCCCAGCTGGGAAGCTTGTAGAGTCCACACTGGAGCAGGGGAGGACAAGCAGCCTGAAAACAGCCACGGCTTTTTCTCTGTCCTGGATGTTTTGTCTCTTCCCTGCAGGAAAGCTGATCTCTCCGTCACTCTGGGGACCTCTCTGCAGATCAAACCCAGTGGCAACCTCCCGCTGATCACGAAGAAGAGAGGAGGGAAGCTGGTCATAGTCAACCTACAAGCAACCAAACACGTGAGTGAGAGCGTCCTCACTGCTCTGCACTCAGAGCAATTTGCTCTGCGTTGCTTCTCTCCCCTCGCGTCACTTGTTTCAGCCCCGTCACAGGTCAGGTCAGTCCCTGCACATCGTCCCTTCCCAGGCGGCCAGATAGAAGAGTGGCCTCGTGTAGCAAGCAAACAGGCTGGGCTTCCCTTGTTGGAGGGTTTAAACCTGCAACTCCCGATAAGCACCTAGAAATGGAAGGTAAATCTTAAGAACGGAATAAAAACTCAGCCCAAAGCCTGATGTATTCTCGGGTGAATTATAGTCCGGTGAAATAACCACACACATGTAACCCATGCCACGGGGCAGAGGAGTTCAGTTCATGTTCAGCCCTGGGTTTGGTGCTCTAATTGTCCAAAGTCCTTGAAATAACCAGAGCTGGGGGGGTTCTGGGATGTCATTAGAGCTCCCTTGTCCCTGTCCCACTCTGTCCTGGGCTCCCTAGTCTGGCTCTGCATCCATGTCCCCATCTCTGGGCTGTGTTTCGAGGTGTGACTGCCTGCCCGCAGCCTGATAGAGCCCTGTCAGCCCGCGGCATAGCCGGGGAGCGGTGCCAGACGGGGTCAGCTTGTGTTCCGCCGGGGATGATGTCTCAGGGACGGGAGCCGTGGAGCCTGCGTGCAGCTGAGCCATCACCCAGGCCTTGTCCCTACGCGCTCCCTGGGAGGCAACGTTTGTCCCTGCACACGCCGTTTGTCCCCTAACGCCGTGCTTGCCCTCGCTTGTCCTAGGACAGACAGGCCGACCTGCGCATCCACGCCTACGTCGATGATGTCATGACGAAGCTGATGAAGCACTTGGGGCTGGAGGTCCCAGAGTGGACAGGGCCGGTGGTGGTGGAAAGCGCTGAGCTCACCAAGCCCGAACAGCTCTTCAAATTTGACCCCGGGGCTCGCGGGGTGCTGAAGGAGGAGCCCCTCTCCCAGCACAACGGCACGGGTGGGCTGTGCCCTGACCTTGGGACCACACTGGTGGAGCGCCGTGACAGTCTGAAGCAGGACTGTCCCAGCCCGGACATGGGGCCAACGGCGGTGAAGAAGATGAAGGTGGAGCCTCTCCTCACCTGACCCAGAATGTTCCCTGTCTGTCTAGACACTCGTCTGTGCCGCTTTTCCTACCGACTTTTTTTAATACCCTTAAACATTGTCCCTTTTTTTATGTAAGTATTAAATACACTCGAATTGTGTGTCGGCGCAGCTGCACCCACCGGCCCGGGAGGGTGTTGCCTGCTTGAAACGGACCGAGCATCTAATTCCCTCTCTGCGAGGAGATGGTTGTGGGGTCCAGCAGACCTCGGAGGGGTAGAGGGATGAGGATGCTCGGTGCTGGGGCGGTGACACAAGGGGATCACTGGGGCAGCCGATGCCATCTCACAGGAAGCTGGGGCTGGGCAGTGGTTGGGTTGAGCTGCTGCGATCTTCTGGCTGAGATCTGCCCGCAGAGGCGGTCCTGTGCGTGCTGGTGATCTGGGGGATGTCGCTGGGTTGTGGAAGGGAAGGGGACTGGTGCCGGCCGAATCCTGGCCTGGCGCAGGGCTGGGAGCTGTGGGATGGTGCCCCGGTGCCGCTGCCTTCCCCTCTGCCTCTTGCTGTGCCCACTGCTCCCAGGGCAGCCCTAGGCTGGGTCTGGCCACGTGTCCCAGCTCTGTTGGACCGTGTTGCCTCAAGGCAGCTGGGTTTGAGGCATCCCTGGCCCAAGGGTCCTTGAAACCTGGATCACCCCATATTAAACTAAAGCAAGTGAATTTTTTCCAAAATACCTTGTATTTAGAGATGAAAATAAAGCTTAAAAAAAAACCAAACCCAAACCAAAACCAACCAGTTGCAACATCAATAGCCAACCAGCCCAGGGCCCCTCCAGTTTGCTTGTCCCCATCCTCAGCGACCCTGTGTCCCTTCCACAACTCCTGCTGCACCCGGGGGACAGGAGCAGCCCCTTCCCTCCCAGTAAGGCCAATGGGAACCGGTCTCAACTTCCCAGTTCACAGATACAAGCAAAGCCAAGCGGGTCCAGCATCTGCCCTTGCCTGGAAGCAGATCCTAGAGGGGTCACCCCGAGGGCTTATCCCATAGGGGATGAGGTGCTGAGCCACCCCATCGCATCCCCCGTGGTCCCTGGGTGCTGCTTAAAGCTCCTCAGCCGGCTCCAGCACCGTGGGCCTGCTGTGGCCAGCCTCGGTCCAGGCCAGCGATGCCAGGCCACCGTGCGGTGTGGTGCCATCCCCTGAAATGCTGTCAGCTTGATCCCCATCCCTGCTGCTCAGCCCTTCTGAGGCAAGCAGCTGTGTGCCGTTATGGGGGGAGACTTTGTCCAGGTGTGGGGTGAATGTGCGGCCACCAAAGGCTTCGTGCAGGGTCTCGGGGGCTTCACCCAGGTGCTCTGGCCACAGCGGCTCTGGGGGCTTCTCATCCCCAGCTTGGGGCTGTGTGTAAGCCACGCGGGAGGCAGCTGCGTTGTGCAGGGACCTGGAGAAAACTGAGTGCGAAGGAGGGTCAGGGCCCACTCCAGTGCCCTGAGCTCCTGGCACAGCCCCGGCGCAGCACTCACCTCGCACAGGTCTGAAGTCGCCGTCTGCCTCGGCCTTGCTGGGGGCAAAGGGGCTGATGGAGGGGAAAACGATGAGCGCGAAAGACAGGAGCAGGACCTGGGGGCAGAGGGGGGGACGTCACTGTGCACAGTGGTGGAGGGGGACCAGGTTCTACAACACAGCTCCCAGGGAGAGGGCTGGTGGCAGAACCAGGACTGCGTCCCTCCATCCCTCCCAGTGCATGTGCCCCTGCCAGCGTGCCTCCATCCATCCCTTCCTCTATCCATCCATCTGTCCTCACATGCCTCCATCCCTTCTTCCATCCATCCAACCTTGGAGCATCTATCCCTCTGCCTCAGCACTCGTCCATCCCTCTGTCCATCCTTCCATCCATATCTGCATGGGTCTGAGCGTCCCTCCCTCCCTCCCTCCAAGCAAGGAGGCCGTGGGGGGGTTGGGGGCTCCACACACCGCGATGCAGGTTCCCGTCTGCGCTGCCTTGTTGCTTGACTGTACCACGAGGGCTTGAAGTTTCTTCAGCTGCTCCAGGAGGGACCTGGGGACAGGGAGAGCCCATTAGCACCTCCAAGCCCCTCCTGCCCCTAATAGGTCTGGCTGGGGCAGGCAGGGGGAGTCCCAGCCCCATCCTACCCCCCCATTGTCCGCATCCTGCCCCAGGGAACACCTACGAGTTCTGCTTCTCCAGGTGCAAGACTTTCCTCTGCAGCTCCTGGTTCTGGGCCGTGCACGCTGACATCCTGGGGGACAGGGAGAGGAGGATGAGGTTGGGGGGGACAGCTGGGGGGGCTGGCAAGGAGCAGCATGCCCATCACCGGCCAGCCGGGTGCCCCCAGGGTGCCTGGGGTGGGGGGTGTGTGCCAGCCCCCGGGGGCTGGTGTGTGGCCATGCCCAGAGCAGGGGTTTGGGGTCCGTACCGGCTCTCCAGCCCGTCAATATACTCCTTCTTCTTCTTGCGGCTCTCCTGAGCTGACTGCTTGTTCCTGATCTTCCGCCGGATCTTCTTCAGCACCCGCTCCTCATACTGGGGGAGACAGGGGTGGGGGGTCAGGGCCGCCAGGGCTGGGACCCCCCCCCCACTCCGCACCCTTCCCAGGCGTGGTGGCACCCACCTTGGTGAGGGGCAGCTGCGTGGGCAGGGACACCCCCTCCTTCGCCAGCAGCTTCTTCTCATCCTCGGTCAGCACCAGCTCCTGGAACTGCCCCTGGCTCTGCCTCAGCAGGGAGCCGGGCACCTGCGGCTGCTGCGGGGCCACAGATGGGTGATGGCCCTGGGTGGCTGGGTCACCCCACGCCTGACCCCAGGGACCACGGTGCGGGGATGAGGATGGGCTCGTGGTCCAGGAAGGGACAGGGAGGGGGCCATGGTGTGGGAAAGGGGACAAGTGTGGGGATGGGGAGGGGATCATGGTCCAGGAAGGGACAAAGCTGGGGACGAGGAGGGATGGGGACACAAGGGCAGGGACTCACGGCATCAGAGCTGCCTGAGAGCAGCAGGTCCTTGACGGTGAGGGTGCAGGATGCGGGCGGGGAGACCACGGGCAGGTCCTGGCTCTCCTCCAGGAAGAAGCCGGGGTGCCACATGTCTGGGTGAGGGGAGAGCGGAAGCTGTCAGCAGTCCTGTGTCCCCCAGTGTCCCCAGTGCAGGACCCTCACCCCTGCCATGGCCCCAGAGCTATGGTGACTTGCTGCCACCTACCAGTCCAGTGGACCCAGACTCTGTCCCCGCAAACTGTCCCTCTGGTCCTGCCCCAGCCCCCCTGAACACCCTGTGCTGGTAAGTGTTTGCACTCAGCACCCCCAGCCTCCCCAAACATCCCTCCTCTTCCAGTCTCTCCCACCAACACCAGCCTGCCCAGTTCATGCCAGTTTCCAAGCTCTCCCCACTACCCCTGGCTCCCCCCCAGTCCTCCAGACCTCCCAGTTCTCCCCAGTCTGCCCAGTTGCATGCAGTCCCCCCCAGCTCCCCTAATTTCCTCACTATCCCCAAGAGACCCCAGGTCCCCTGTCCCGCTCAGGTCCCCAATGTCCCCAGTCCCCCCCAGTCCCTCCAGTGCCCCCAGCCTGGTCCTTTGCCCAGTCTCTTCCCCATGGCTCACCCAGATCGATGGAGACCTCGGGGTGCAGGGCCCCAGTCCCCCCTGGGAGGGACAGAGCCCGACAGGGGTTGGTGTAGGGGTACAGGACCTCACTGGGACCCCCATCACAGCATCTGGGGGGGCTGTCGAGCTGGTCAGAGGGGGGGTCCTCGGAGACCCCACTGTCGCTGGCAGCTGGGGACCAGCTGGGTGAGTCCGACGCTGAGTCCCCAGAGCCCAGGATGGAGCTGAGGAAGTCCTCGCTGTCCTGGGCATGCTGCAGGAACACGGCACCTGTCACCCTGGGGTGCCCATCACCCTGGGGTGCCCACAGGAGCTGCCCATGCTGCAAGGTGGTCCCAGCTTCAGGGCAAGGCATGGGGATGGGGCTCTCCTGCCAGACCCAGGGATGAGGTGGGGATTGGCCCCCCCAGCCCAGGGGACTCACCCCGTCCTCGTGCCAAGTGCCTGGCGGCGTCCCCAACTCCACACTGCGGAGGATCCCATCCTGGCGGTCAAAGAGGAGGTCCAGCAGGTCGAGGCTGTCCATGCCAGAGGCCATGGCTGCAAGGTGGCAGAGTCAGGTCCCTAACCCAGTCCCCGTGATTGCCCCCCTCTGCCTCCCCCCCAAGCTACACGGCCCCAGGGACACCCCAAATCGTGGGGTGGGCATGGGGTTGGTGAGAGGGAGCAGGGAGCATGTTTGGGCATGGGCGCATGTGTGTGGGACCATGGGGAGGTGTATCTACACGCATGCGCACATATATGACAGTGCATGTGACCATGTGGATGTGTGCAGGGCTGGATGTGCACGTGGCCATACTGGCACATGCGTGTGCAGAGCTGTGTGTCTGTGCAATCACACGACCACGCAATGTGCATGTGTGTGCCCACACAGACATGGCTGTGTGAACACATGCACACGCATGTGCCGGCACCTGTATGTGAGCACATCTGGCAAAGTCCTATGTGCATGTGTGTGGGAGGGAGAGCATGGGCATGCAGGGGCTCAGGGGGAGCCGCCCCCGCCCCCTTCCAGCAGCTGAAACTCCCAAATGCTCTATTTTTTCCCCCAAGAGAACTGCACAGCCAAGGGCTCCCCACAGGCACCCAGCTGCCCCAGCCCCACCGTGCCCCCCAAGTGCAGGAGCAGGATGAGTGCTCAGACCCGAGGGCTGGGTCAGCTCCCCCATCCAGCCCTGTCCCATGTGTATGACCACTCAGGAAGATCAGGTTAATCATTTTGGGTGGCAAGTGGAGGGGGAGGAGACTGCTGCCACCGGCCAGCCCCAAGGAGGGGACTCAGCCCCGCTCTGCCACTGCCACCTCAGGCACTGCTTGAGACCCCAGACTCGGAGAAAACCAACAGGCCAATTGACCAGTTGCCCAACCGGCCGATCAGCCAACTGACAACCCAACTAACTGACCAGCTGACCAACCAGTTGACCAACTGACTAACTGGATGACCAGCCAAATCAATGAACCAATCAAGAAACAGACCAAATGGTCAACCTGTTGGCCAAGTGACCAACTGATTGACTGACCAACTAACCAACCCACTGACCAACTGACTGACCAGTCAACTGTCTGATTGATTGATCAACCAACCCACCACCCAACCACTCAACCCACCACCCAACTACCCAACCCACTCCACCCAACCCATCACTTAACAGTCCTTCCCAACCTATTAAGCACTGACTCAAGTGTCCTTCAAGCCAGGTTTGGGGACGGTTGTCATTACCAGGAAGTTTGGCTGGCCAATCCAGGCAAGGGGCTTTATTGCACCCTGTCCTTCATCCTCAGTCCTTCCAGTGAGCCCTGATAGCCCCATGGGACCAGCAGGTAGAGGGACCCCATTGAGCGCCGGCAGCCAGGACATACCTGTGTGAGATCCCATTCCCACGGATCCGTGCTGTCTTCTCAACCCCCTCAGTGTGCGGAAGAGCGGGGTGGACACCGAGCCCAGCCACCTCCTCCTCTGTGGTGTCCTGACCCAAGTGGCAAAGTTTAAACTCCAACTGCACAGAAATAATGTCCCAGATTGCAAAATCTCCTCACCCTGATTGGGGATGGCAGTGAGCAATGGCAGGGCTGCCCTGGGGCCGGACCCGCTGCGCTCCGTAATTCATTAGCCAAATGTTTTTGTCCTCCGCCACCGAATGGGGCAGGAGGGGCCCGGGGCTGGTGAGCGAAGTCCAACTGCTGTGATTGCCCGTGAACTTTCACCCATTTTTGGGGACAATTTCCCTTTTTTTCAGACGAGCGTATCAGCGTTAATCACATTTTATAGGTGTCGAGAACAACATCCGGGGAAGACGTCGACTTGGACTCTACCACTTATGGCTTCCTCCACAACAAACCACAGTCCCCTCTGCTCCCTGCGGCCAGGGCTGGCCCGGATACCTGGGTTCTGCTGCCTGCCTGACCGCTGCCTGCCGGCAGGGCTGCCTACACCCTCCACGCCTCCATTTCCCCCGTGGCTGTCTGGGGGCCAAACACGCTACAGTTCGTCCACCGCCGCGTTCGTCCCTCCCCATCGCCCTGCGGCGAGGGCGCCAGCCCAACGCGTGTCACCCTCCAGATGAGCCCCTTCGCACCGGATCCCCTAGGATCCCGCCGGATCCCCTTCACGCAGGGAGGGGACGGGTGAGTAAGGCGGCGTGTGACCGAGGCGTGGCGCAGGGACAAGGCCGCGTCCCGTTATCGGCCGTTCGACGCCCTCTGACCGGGCGGCAGCTGCCCGCGCCGCTCCCTGGTTTATGGCCCGGCGGCAGAGACAGGAGCCCCTGGAACCGAGCAAAGGGCGTCCGTCCGTCCGTCCGTCCATCCGCCCGCCCAGCGCCACGGTCTTCCCCAGGGACTGTTAATTGCCCGGCTTCGTTAGGGCCCTCGAGCATCCCCTTGGGCCTGCTGCCTGGGGTCCAGGCAGGAGGGCAGGGCGGGCAGGGGCTGGGCAGGGCAGACAGGGGCTG